TGCTCTGCTACGCAGTTCAGCAGAAAGCTTCAGCACGACTCGATAGCGCGAGGTTTAGTATCGAAAGCACGAAAACGTGAATGAAATCACACACGCTCTTGAAGGCCAATTCAGACTATGTTCATGGGCTATGGGGATTTTGAATTGTGAACTAGTAGTGAAACTAAAAACTGCCCAGTCCCCCCTGTTAGAGGCAGACATAAGTTTCTAAAAGTGTAAATATGCTGTATAATTTGTAATATCATTACTACTTATCGCTCAACATTGGAAACCACTGTACGACTAACTGTACTTTGCTGCCTAAAGATTATTACATGCACAGGACTGTTTGTTACATCAAGCTGGTACTTCAGTTGTGGATGCATCAGTTATAACTTCTTTGTTGTTTGAACGAGGATCTCTGGGATTTGCTCTGTTGGTTTGCTATCCCGACTGATATTTGAAAAATAAATTAATCTCGGGGTGTCAAACCTTTAGGCCACAACCTGGCATAGGAAAATGACAAGTGAGCCGGTGGAATCGCTGTCTAGTATGTGTTGGTTTGGCCGCAGAAAAGTGACATGCAGTTTTCAAGCATATAACCTCATTACTCTCAATTTCTTTCTTTTATTACTAAGGTTGTCTTCTTCTACTACTACTACTACTACTACTACTACTACTACTACTACTACTACTACTACTACTACTACTACTACTACTACTACTACTACTACTACTACTACTACTACTACCACTACTACTACTACTTCTACTACTGCGACTACTACTACTACTACTACTACTACTACTACTACTACTACTACTACTACTACTACTACTACTACTACTAATACTACTTTTACTACTACTACCATCACCACAACCACCACTACCCACTACTACCACTACTACTACTATTACTATTACCACCACCATTACCACTACCACCGTCAACACCATTACCACTACTACTACTACTACTACTACTACTACTACTACTACTACTACTATTACTACTGCTACTACTATTACTACTACTACAACACTGTACTAGTTCGTTAGAGAGCTTGCCGTTGAAGTAACATATAGTTATAGTTATACAGAAGTAAATCATTGAGTAAAAATGGATTATATTAAACGAATGCAAATAATAATAAAACGAATAATGATAACGTATTCAAGTCACCTGACTAGCAGTATTTTGCGCTATTGTAGCCTAGATTCCCATTCAAGAATGTCAGTTGCATTTCAACGACTACATCGCTAGATACAGAAATACTCTTGCACTAAATACGTCCCAGTCTAAACGCTGTCAGAATTAGTAAGTAATACAAATAGTACGAATCAAATATAGACTCGATACTGACAATGCATATGGATTCGTGTAAATGTCAAAGAGCGCTGTCGCGACAGACATCGACGACGATACACAAATGTGTATATAAGTTTCATGCTGGCTCAAGAAAATCCGTGAGTTGAGAATACGTATAGGTATTTGCACACCAAATTTAGACAATAAATTGGTCTATTTTTACGGCAAAAAGAACGGTTGCGAGCTCGAAACAGAACCAGGCCAGATTTGGTGCATATCGACCCAGTTAACAGGAAAGGGGGAGGAGATACGTTAAGAAGAATGTGGGATATCATTAAATAATGTGGGATATTTTAAATGACAAATTATGTCAACGGAATATTGAACGTAAAGAAGAGCATCCGCCATTTCATTGTTCCTGTGGGGTAATAGAGAAGATAATGTGGGTCATACATTTTTATGGTGGGTGACACAAATAACTGACCACTGGGGTTTTTAAAAAAAATTAAGTGTACGCTATTTGTAGCGCACAATAAGGACAAATGCATGCGTGGGTTCGATAAAGAGAAACGAATACGCCAAAAGAAAGATAGACATTTTATAGGACTATCGTCGGGTCAACAGAAAAAGAATTAAGGATCTTCATCCATAAAGCTAGTTCTGACCTTAGTAGACCTCGTTCGGGTCGAAGTGATTTCTTATTTCAAAAGACCCAGCGACTAATTCATCGTACGACGAAGAGGGCTTAAACAACGAGGTAGATATAGCTGGGTCCTTTTCTATTTGTTCATCCTTTTTCGGGGACTCCGAGATTTCGTGAGGAGTTCCCGAGAGAGCCCAGTAGTTTAGGGGGTGCTAGGGTGTGAGATGAACACCAACTAACTGTCAAAAACGGTAACTACTGTCTTTTTTTTTAAACCATTTGTTAGGGCGGTGTAGAATTGGGGGGGGGGGGCGCTTTAGCATGCGGATTAAGGGCCGCCTGGTTAGTTCTGTCGCCACGGACTTTACAGGTTAGGATGTTTGATTTTGCCCTAGACAACCGACTAACATTAATCCCCCCCCCCCCCCATTAAACTGGACCTTCCCGTGAACTTTCCTCGAAATGTAAGAGTTCCTGAGATGGCGTGAACAAAAGGAAAAGTACCAATAGATGATCACGTAAGAGGGAAGCAAGAAGCAGTTCCCATAACAACGCATTTACTGCTGTATAATTAATATTCCTTGGAAACATAAAATACCCGGATCCGCAGTGGTGTAGCGGTTAAACGCTCGCCTTCGGATCCAAAGGTAGTGGGTTCAACAAATCCGAACGAAGTGGGATTTTACTTTCAATAACCTTGTCTCCTAGGTCGACCTAGCCATAAATGGGTACCACGTAAAGTCTTGGGAAGCAAAGGCGGTCGTGACTCCTGTTGACCACATCACACACAGTGTCGAGTGGTTTATAAAAATATATGTCAAGCACTATATGCCCAAGGGAACCGCCGTGGTGTAGCGTTTAGACGCTCGCTTGCGGATCCGAAGGTCGTGGGTTCAAATCCGAACGCAGCCGGATTTGTGTCTGTCAGAAAGGCTTTGTCTCCCAGGTCTTCTGCTTCTTCTTCTTTTATCGTCTTACTGATATCAATTGTAGCCCAGTGTCGTGGTTTTCTGAATTTGTCTTGCGCTTCTAGGGTGGCTTTCATCTCCCAGATCAACCCACCCATAAATGAACAGAAGGTAAAGTAATGGGAAGTAAAGGCAACCGGATATGCACCTAAAACTCAGGTTTTCGAACACGACTAAAGTTCAGAAGTGGACGAACAGCCAGAACTTTCCGCCGGGGTTTACAGCAGGTGAATGTTAAAAAAGAGAATGCGGAAAGGAGGAGGGGGGAGGAGGAGGAAGAGGAGACATAGAGGTGACACAGGACGTGGTCGCGGACATCTACGTGACCTGGGCACTTAAACATTACACAAACATCAAAGGACGCGAGTGTCATTGATTGATCGATAACCGCCGAGTCAGTTATGCTTCCTGAGGTAAACGAAGACAAGAGTGGGGGAGGAAGAGGATAAATTAGCTGACTCACAACTTCCCGAAGGGGAAAAACAAAACATGGTGCTGTCGAAAAAAAAAAAGTCTTTTGGCGCAAGGGGAAGTGGTTTGGACTGAGCTTATCAGGTGGGTTTTCCCCTGTTTTGTGTCATTGAGTCAGCTGTTTTATGCCTTGTCACAATCAATACATATTTATGCTTGCATTTACTCACTTCTATGACTGGTGCTTGTAGCAAGTTGTTATGTTATGCCAACAAGATTTCACCAGCTTTCCCCATTATTCGTTTGTTTATTTACCTTAAAAAAACCCGATGCTGTACACCCGATTTCTTCTTCTTCTTTTTCTTTTTCTTCTTCTTCTTCTTCTTCTCTTCTCCTTCCCCTCCTCTGTGTCCGTACTTACGAAGGCTGTTGGCATGGTGTGTTGTGGTTTACAGCTAGGGTGCGATTTCTACACCTTGCAGCCCAACACTCAACAGAAAACAATCAACATTCTCTTTTCCATTATCTTTGTTGAGCTTTCAAGTCACATTTTATGTTGTGTTAAGTACTCAACAAAGGCCACTAAGCCGCCTCTTAGTAGATTGCTTGTATGAACATTTGGTCTTGTCTTTTGTCTTCCAAAACTGGGTACCGGAACTCGCATAAAATGTTCACCTGGTATGACATGAATACAAACACTGCTTTCTAGGTAAATAGATATCCCAGATGACCATTCGTTGAGTCTGTAATTAAATTTAAGTTATAGACAAGGAAGTCATGCGCAGGCGTGGCCGCGGGTAAAACGCCCATAGAACACTAATCTGACTTGTCTGCTGAATGGAAAAAGATAGTCCTCAGTTTGGATAGGACTTATGTGCAGCCATGAAGTTGGTAGTTTTAAGAAGGTGAAGGTGGGCGACTAGTAGTAGCAGGATGATGGGAAGAGGGAGGATGAGGAAGAGGAAAATATTACTTTAAAAGAAATGATTCTTAGTATACCACAGATCAAGAAGAGAAAAAGCATCGACATTCTAAAAGGAACATCGGGAAGAACTGGCTCATATACAACATTCTGTCCCGATGGCTGAAGTATTTTGGTCACACCAAGCGTCATGGTGGCTTGGAAAAAGGGTGCCGTTTGTGGACGACGGGGCAGGGGTAGACTACCGCGAAGATGGATGCAGGACATTTAAGATGCATTGGCTTTGAAAGCACATGCGGCCGGAGAGCTGGCTAGGGAAAGGGATACTTTCAGTCGTGCCGTAAAGAGAGCGACGTTCTGTAAAGGACTTGCTGATTGATGATGATGATGATGCGAGAACGGAAGATGAAGAGATGAAGAGATTAAACATTAGTTACCAACACGATTGTTGTGTCTGAAAAGATGATGTTCACTTACCTAACAAAACTAACAGCTTAGCAGACAATGTCTGCATTTAGCAATGTCTGGTCCAAGCGGAAATAGCTGCCGCATTCTACATTTGTTTTATTCAAAAGATATCTCCTTGATCATTTAAAGTAAATAAATCACGTAAACTATTTGTCTCCCACTATATTCTATCGAAATTAATGTATCAACAACTATATTATCTTAATTTAAGTGATAAATAAAGACACCCTTACTGTCAACAACAAATTGTTTGTGTGCAAGAAGACAACAACATATTTCGTAACCATCTGTACTTACATTCTGAACCGGCTGTTCCGCTTGTGAGAATAACAGGTCATCAGTGTCCGGGACAATTTGGTCCTTCACTGGACCAGACGCTATTGAAGAACTACAGTGCTGTAGAACCTGAGCCATGCCACAAAAAGAAACAACCTTCAAATTCGTCTTAATGTGTCCGCGCACAAGTAAAACACAGTACGATCACTTATGTAATGATATCTTTCTCAAGTCTCCGTTCTCCAAAGTGAAATATACGCTTGAGTTTAGAAACAAACTAACGGTTTTGAACGTGTCCCCGTTGCTCTCTGTTTGCGCGTCGAGTTTATAGTGACTGCTGTTTTTAATTCACAAACCTGATAAACTGCCACAAGCCTCGATTTGATTTGCTCTATTTCAAAATACGCGCAGACGCAGTGGAAAACTCGCGACGCCGGCCCTCGCTTTACGCGCGTACTACGGAGTTTTATGAATGAAATTGACCTTTGCACTCTCTTTCCGCTCTAGTTTTGTCAATGGCGTCACTGGGAGGCGTGGCTTACTGCTCCATATATGGAAAAACCAGGTCACCCTTGTTTTAAAATAGAGGAGGTTTAAATAGTATGGATTGGGGAAGAAGAATTGCCATAATAATGATATTCATTATATTTGATGATGGTGGTAAAGCAATGTACGCACAAGAAGAAAGTATGAGACATATCTTACATAAAGAAATCCCAACAACCACATAATCAGCAATATCATCATCTTCGTCTGAAATGATACTGGCGATAGTGTTCTCGTCTCTCGGCAGATTTCGGTACCAGCTGCTTCGGATTAGTTCGGCATGCTCTTTTAGGTCTTAGACCACCATCATATAATGTCTCTCAATTTCGGAGGGCCCTTTAAAGTGCACAGGGAGTCGCCGTGGCGGAGCTGCTAGACGCTAGCCGCGGATCGAAAAGTCGTGGGTTCGCTCCTTCGCTGAGCCGAACATTTTTTCAAAAATGACATTGGCTTCCAGATGGACATAGCCTTGAGTGGGTACCGGGTGCAGTCCCGGGAAGTAAAGGCGGATGGTGTGATGCTGACAACATCACCCATCTTGTGCCGATGGTCTATAAAATATAGGTCTAGCCCTATATGCCCTATACGCCTGAAGACATGAAAAAGGATCCTTTTACTTTACTTTCCTTGCACATGGCACATCGGGCATATGAGTGATAAGACTGATAAACTCAGGGCTTTTTCTCTTATGTTATCCTTACGTAATGTGGGAACCTGTTTTGAGGCATCATTTTTCAGTGCTACGGTAATAGATGCTTGTTTGGGGAAACGAAGGTCGTGAATTCAAATCCGCACGCTGCCGTAATTTTTTTTTTTAAACATATCTTGGCTCCCAGATCCACCCATTCTTAAATGGATACCAGGTGCAGTCCTAGGAAGTAAAGGCGGACTGTGTGGCGTTAACCACATCACCAGTCGAGGATTTGCTTAAAAAAATTAGCTGATCTTTATACGCCCAATGCATATTTGTCGTATAAATGGACTTTTATTGATCCTATCTTTATATACGCAAGTGAATCATGGGCAGTTTGTAAATTAATGAAGACTTACTTGGAAGTTGAGGAGATTTGGTTTTATAGAAGAATGATGAGAATACCAAGGACAGATAAAAAAAAGGAGTAATGAAGATGTCTTCTTCTTCTTCTTCTTCGCGTTCACCAGCTGTAAACTCTGGCGGAAAGTTCTGGTTGTTCGTCCACTTCTGAACTGCAGTCCTGCTCCAGAACTTGAGTGTTGCGTGCGCATCAGTTTTACAGATCTGATTCACTTGAATACAGACTGTTGGTTCCTTGCCCCTCAGGCAGATGTACTCCGACTTCAGAGGAAGCTCCCCAATTAGTCGACTCTTACGACATGCTTTTGGGTAGGCAGAGGGTCTATTCTTGTTTTTCCCACAATGGGGCCCCAGAACCCACACGGGGATGAAGATGTCTTGAAAGAAACCGTTCCAAAAAGAGAACTGATTGCATACATCAGAAAGAGACAATCTACATTCTTTGGTCATGTTATGAGAAGGAGAAAACTGGTGTACATCGTGTCGGTAGGAAAGTTGGAGGGGAGGAGAGGCAGAGAGAGACCGAGAGAACAGATGCTGGACAGTTTCACATCATGGCATGGAGAATCATCTATGTCAGAGTTGATTAAAAGTAAACGAGACAAACGGTTTGTGGATAGATATGACTACCAACGCCACACTGCATGGACTATGGATGATTATCTGTGACAGAGTTGATTGAAAGTAAACGAGACAAAAGGTTGTGGATAGATATGACTACCAACGCCACACTGCATGGACTATGGATGATTATCTGTGTCAGAGTTGTTTGAAAGCACACGAGACAGAAGGTTGTGGATAGACATAGACTTTAAGAAGAAGGGATATCTTACTGTAGAACACCCTGTGTAGTCAGTGTTAAAGTTAGCTGCGTGCACTTTACAGGATGTTGCATAAACGATCCCAGCATTGTGTTTGTGATTTCCCTAAGAAAGCTAGCCAAGTTGGTTAAACCAGCTGCGCGGCGACAGGGTGATAAACTCCTTGTGGTCGGAGTTCACGCTAGGGGGTAGGCAGAGAAACCACATATTTTCCCACATTTACGGTATCTATCATAGAATCAAGGGTTGCGATATTCGTAGTATCGAGACAAAGTTTATGGATTAAAGAAAACAACAACTTACTTTTTACTTAATTTGTCCATGTCATTAACCTTTGGCTTTTGTCAATACCAATGTTGAAACTAACACAAGGCGGTCTGTACAAAATCGCTTGCAGCTGGCATAGACTCCGGCACCACGGAATTATGAAGCACGTTCGACACGCCTAAGTCAAGGACACTGACATCTTATTTAGGAACTTTCGATAAGTACCGGCACCTTTTTTTTTCTCTAGAAGAAATAACAGTAAGGTTAACAAAAGAGGAACTTTGATTAATTACACTAAGATTAATAATAATAATCAACATGGAACTTTTTTTCTGGAGAGGGTGGGGGGGGGGGGGGCAAGTATAATTCTCTTTTTTAAACCAATTAACATCACGCTAACAGCTGTTACTTCCCTGTATACCTGTTACTCATCTTAGGCTAGGTCGACTTCTGAGCCAAGGTCATTCACCCCCCCCCCCGCTCTTGAATTAGCATGAGGCAATTTCAAGGCACGGGGGAGGGGGGGGGGTTAGGGGGTGGTTGGGGAGAGGGGAGGGGGTCAAGCAGTTTTGAAAATGAATTCATTTTGTACTGGTTATAATCTGGATTTTCAGTTTAACAGTCATTAAAACAAAACGGCGCTGTCGGCTTCACGAGGAGAGTGATCTCCGTTGTGCCTTGTCCTACATCAGACCAAAAGTACAACGGAATTCCAATATTTTAAGTTCATCATGTTTTTTGGTCGAAAGTTTTGATAACGGCAATGAATGGAAGCCGACAGGAAATCTCTCGTGCTGGCGAGATGCAGGCAGATTCGTGATATGTACCAATTTTATTTGACATTCGCCCGAAAAGCCGACATTCATCCATTCTCAGATGTCGCCGGCCAATTATCAGATGGGGAATAAATGATAGATCAGTTCTAAGTGCTGAAATTAGGGAATAGCTGTCCCAATTGTGCAAAAGTGTGGGTTTTCGTCAAGAAATGACACTTAAACATCGCTATAGTTAATATGCGTATCAATTTATTTGATGATGATGTGTTTCGATACTTTTTAATAAATTTTTAAAAAATTAACAAAACAACATTCGATTGAATTGTCTAGAATTGCTGTTAAATTATCAAGACATAAATCACAAGAAGAGACATTACCTGACATCATGATGAAGGTGACTCCTTTCCTAATCAACAGCCATTTGTTTTTTTTCAATTCAAAGGGTTCATTTTTAAAATTTTATTTACATATTTATGTAAGTCTACTGTATATTTAAGTCATAAAAACGAGTAAATCTCTATCATAATGATAAAGATAAATATAAGTGCGGTGGTTAAATGTAATTAAAATGTATTAGCACTTATCAGTTTTCGAGTGTTTTTTGTTTGTTTGTTTTGTTTTCTTTTTAAAAAAAAATAGATTAGCAAAATTCAGGGCTGGAAACAATTTTTTATTGAATTCCTGTAGGAAAAAAACTCGTTTGATATTGGTCGCTTTTAATTTTCATCCTCCCTTCAAGAACTGAATAATGACGAGTACTGGAGTTCCACTGTAGCAGAAATCATAAAGACAAAACAGTCAGCCGTCACATTACCAGCTGGACAATAAATTACCAATTGTTATGAGTGTTTCTGTTGCTATTTGACACTGTATTAATCTTCTTCTTCTTCGCGTCCACCAGCTGTAAACTCTGGCAGAAGGTTCTGATTGGTCATCCACTTCTGACTGCAGTCCTGTTCCAGAACCTGAGCGTTGCATGTACATCCGTTTTACAGATTTCATTCATTTGTATGCAGACTGCTGGTTCCTTGCCTCTCGGGAAGATGCACTCCGACTTTGAAGGAAGCTCCCAATTAGTCGACTCTTACGACATGCTTTTGCTTTGACAATGGGTCTATTCTTTTTTCCCCTATAACAGGGCCCCGCAACCAACAAAGGGAACTGAATTATTGTGTCTGTTTTTCTCTAAGTTCTTGTTAACAGTAAATGAGGTTTTTCTTCTTGGCCTCCGCTTCTGAGCGACATTTAGTTGTTGTTGGGAAGAGGGAGCTTTGGGGGAAAAGGGGGGGGGGGGGGGGTGTCTGGCCATATTCTCAAAATGCTCAAAATGGCCGCCTGCTCTACCCATATACTGAAGGAGCCAACGTCTGAAATATGTTGGAGACCACTTCAATATAGCTTTGCCGAAAGACAATGTGAGGCAAGGATATTTGTGGGGGAAAAAAAGCGCGCTAGATCCTGGAACTATTCTAATAAAACGAGCAATATGGCGAAAAACACAACAATCCTAAGTAAAATAATGAATTCAGGGACCATTTCATGATATATTTTCTTGATGCAGGGCAGTGAATGGTGAAATAATGAAGAAACTGGCGGTAACAACGCTGCCGTTGTGTTTCCCATAACAACATCTTAGCCGTGTAGAATTAATACACCTTAAACCCTTATTTTTTA